CCCACTCATCTCCGGCAGGTTGTGGTGGCCTTCCTACATTATAGCAACCGCAGTGGTCCTGTCGAGATCAAGGACATGTCTACCGACTTACGCGATGAGCTGGTTGCCCTGCAACAAACCCTCAGCCAGCAGCTCCCATCGTACATGATCCCATCCATGTTCATTCCCCTATCTCGCGTGCCTTTGACTATGAATGGCAAGTCCGATCGTCGTCAACTGCGCGAATTAGTCACATCCCTCTCGAGAGAAGACAGTCTAGCCTTTTCGCTGGCCAGCAGTGTCAAGCTGGAACCGACCACGCCGATGGAACTGGAGCTCCGCGCCTTATGGGCCAAGGTCTTGCATGTTAAAGAAGATACTTTGGGCAAGAACGACCACTTCCTCCGCTGTGGAGGTGATAGCATCTTGGCGATGAAACTCACTAGTCATGCGCGATGTGCCGGCCTGGCCTTGACTGTCCAAGCTATTTTCCATTCTCCAGTGCTTGAGGAAATGGCAGCTGCTATTTCTCGGAAATCAGCGCAAGACCTTACGCAGCAGTCGCCCTCACCTTATACTCCTTTCTCCCTCATCAGTGACATCTCCAATATGCTTCCTATGGTGGCCCTGGCCACGAAAACACCCCCTGAAAATATTGTGGACGTTCTCCCTGCGTCGGACTTCCAATCGTCCGCAATCGCCCACTCCATGCTAAAAACCCGTGGCTTGGTGAACTACCTCTTCCTTGATGGCGAAGGTGAGGTCCCATGGAACCTGGCGTATGTTCAGAAAGCATGGGCTCTCTTTCTCCAAACTCACGGAATTCTTCGGACTGTATTCGCTGCCTATGGAGACCGCTTCTATCAGGTGGTACTCAAAGACATCTCGCAACCGGTCGCGTGGTACCAGATAGAGGAAGATATCGAACCGTTCTGTCTCAAATTATGCAAGCAGGACGTCGACTCGGACCTGCCCTTGGGTAGCGTACTCACCCAGTTGTCAGTTGTCAGTAATCAGGAACATCATCGACTCATTCTCCGAGTCTCCCATTCCCAATATGATGGTGTATGTCTGCCACGCATCTGGCAGAGCTTCCAAGATGCATTCTCTGGTCGCACGCCTGCTCTAGAGGTTCCATTCTCTCACTTCATAACCAGCATCCACCCTGCTAGCCAGGGTGCTCAAACGTACTGGCGTGATGTTTTGTCAAATTCCACCATGACCGACATTGTGGCGCACTCCGCACCCCAATATCGGAATGTGTACGATTTGCACCTGACCCGAACAATCACCATCGCCTCTCAGACTGGTTCAGGAATCACTTTCGCCACTATTTTGAAGGCTGCCTGGGCTCTTGTCCTATCTTCATGCTCTGACAATTCCGATGTCATCTTTGGCCATGTCGTTTCCGGTCGCAATCTACCTCAAGTCAACATAGAGCAGGTGATCGGCCCCTGCCTGAACATCCTCCCGACCCGTGTCATAATCGATCCTACGGCGACCGTGAATCATCTCCTCGAAGCCGTGCAGGCTCAACATGCTTCTCACATGGCCCACGAATCGCTAGGAACCCGCGAGATTATCCAAAAATGCAGCCCCTGGCGTCCTTCTACTCGCATGAGCAGTATTGTGCAACATCAAAACATCGACCAAGATGCGACGGTGACTCTCAACAACCAGAACTACCTTGTTGGTGACTTCTGTCCTGCGGCAGATGAGGCAGACATTGCTATCAAGACCACCCCCTTGGATAACACCCAGATTGAGGTGCTTTTCATCACATCCTCGCGCTCTGTTGGCGAGCCCATGGCAACTGCTCTGTTGGATCGTCTCTGTACCACGATTCAGGCTATCTGCGACTCCACACACGCACGGATACCTGTGTCGCAGCTTATTCACCCTGAGTCTATTCTTCCCTTGCCGAGTCCATCAAAGTCTATTGGTATGAACGGACACTCTGCGATTGATTGCACCGACACTGTCGGGCCTATGGACGAAACCTTGCTATCAGCCTTATGTGACAGCTGGCGGGAGGTTCTGGGAAATCCCGACCTGCCGTTGGGCTTAGAATCCGACTTCTTTGCTGTCGGTGGTGACCTGGTCTCGATTGCGTTGCTGGCCGCGTTTTGGCAACGTCGGGGTTACCAGGTTGCGGTGGAGGATCTCTGGGATAATTCGCAGGTCGATTCTCAACTGGACACCTTGATACAGGCGCGTTGTTGATCTGCCTTTTTATCTGTTTCAAATGATTTTCTAGGCGCTCACTAGCGTTCATTGGCTAACTATATTATTTCTATTGCATGAATTTGTATGGACTAGTTCTATTCTGATTCAACATATGTTTGTTCAAATTGGCTCCCGGTCTTCATTTTCAGTTAGATCACGGAATTTAAACGACAGATCTATCTGCTCGCCCATGGATATACATACTTCTTAAATAGGGAAAGGGGGAGAAGAGTAAAGAAGAATATGATATACTTATGTATCTGGCTACTTTTTTTAATACTCTCTTCACTGCTCTTTTCGACCCTCTTTTGGACTCTCTTTTGAATGTACCTCAACTGCTTCGGCTTAACATGGCATTAATAATTGGATATACTCCTAAATCAATAAGGCCTACCGTAATGTTGACCTATAAGAAATCAAAAGCTACATGGTAAGGTGAGAAATGTGGCAGTCTTCTATATAGGGGTTGTCCTCAACGCCGCCACGTATTGCCTCCTAAAATATACCTCCACACCACACAAGTTCAAAAACTTCAATGGTGCACTTTTCCACATTTTTGATCGCTAGCTCAACATCAGGCCTTCCAACTCCAACCCTTTCCACCCCAGCCCCCAGCAGCCAGCCTGCGCCGTGGGAGCTAAATTCGATCCGAAACATGGATACCTGGCTAACTAAATTTAATCCTGGTCGGTGTAGCGTACAAGCACGCTAAAATTCGACTGCCTAAATCGTTCTCTGTTTAGTTCTATATATTACCTAGTCCATTGAAGTTTGGTACGCCATGTCTCTGAGTATATATAGCTCGAGGAAGCATGAAATAGAGTAATGTCACAAAAGATCTTCAACCTCTCTCCGAGTGCCTACGTTTGACCATGGATCTCCCCCTAGATCCTCAATTGACTTCCCCGGATCTCTTAGTAGCAAAGGAGCTACTCGGGCAAAATGAACGACCGCATGAGCAGAGCAACAGCAAAGAAACTATTAAGAAGTTAAAGGCTCTTAACGATCTCACCGATCCGGATTTTGACCCCACGGTCTTCCAATTCTGGGAAACACATCTACTTCGACGGAAGCTGCCTCATCGCATCCGAAAGTACCTCCTGGAGCCATATATCCGCTGGGCTCAGGAGGTCGCACGATTTCCAACCGACGTCGTGATGATCACGCATCTCCTGCTTTACCTGACGACCTCGATCCCCAGTGCGCTTTATCTCTATTGCTACCACTTCAGCTGGATTCATGGCCTCCTTCACTGGATCGTGCACGTCTGGTATGCGGGCAGCTACACGCTCATGAAGCATCAATATGTCCACATGAAAGGCGTCTTGGCTCCTCAATATCGTCTGATCGACACGCTCTTCCCGTATATTGTCGATCCCTTCGTGGGCCATACCTGGAATTCTTACTACTACCACCATGTGAAGATGCATCACGTTGAAGGCAATGGGCCCCGAGATCTCAACTCAACCATGTGGTATGATCGAGACTCGATCGTCGACTTTGCCCTCTATGTTGGCCGGTTCTTTTTTCTTATTTGGCTGGATCTGCCCCTGTATTTCCTGGGAAAGGGGCAATACTCCACAGCGTTCAGGACTGCATTCTGGGAGATCAGCAATTACATCGCCATTGCTTTGTTGTACCAATATGGCCATGCCCAGGCCACATTTTGCGTCTTTGTCTTGCCACTCTTGACACTTCGTGCGGGACTGATGGCAGGTAACTGGGGCCAGCACGCATTTGTGGATCCTAGCGATCCCTCATCCGATTTCCGCTCCAGTGTGACCTTGATCGATGTAGCTGTATGTTTGCCCTGTCCATTCCAGTCGCTTCTGACGACCTCGCCTTACTAACCCCTTTTCAGAGTAACCGATTCTGTTTCAACGACGGATACCACACCTCTCACCATCTCCATCCCCGCCGTCATTGGAGGGAACACCCAGTAGCGCTCCTGCGGGACCAAAAACGCTACTCGGACGAGCGGGCACTTGTCTTTCGAAATGTGGACTACCTCATGCTGACAGTGAAATTGCTCCAAAAAGACTACATGCACCTGGCCCGATGCATGGTGCCTATTGGTCCTGAGCAGCGACAGATGAGTCTGGAACAACGCGCAGATATGTTACGGAGCCGAACCCGACGCTTGCCCGATGCGTACTTAGAGCGACACAGCTTGAAAAAACGATGATGCTTAGCAGTGGATCGGTCCGGGGTGGAGAAAACTTTTCTTTGTTGGTTTCGGAGTATCCGGTCATTAGCGTACGCCACACTGTAATAAATACTGTTGCTTGGTGTGTTTGAAATACATTGCAGCCGTATACATGTATACAAACATAGTCATGGTAACAGGCTAATTTACTAGGGCTATGTTGCCGTATGAACTAGTATTACCAGGCATTCAGTTTTGTTTGCTATTTTTCATTCAGACACGTAATACAGATCGAGTAATATTCTTCTATACATCTATACATAGTACAGAATACCGGTATGTATTCTACAAATACATAATACCGGGGTTTGATCATCAGGGGTGAATCCGGAGATCCTTGCTTACCTGCATTAGTGGTAATTGGCGTTAACCTTAGTGCTGACATCCTTTTCTTAGCTTCATTGAGGTTGCAATGGTGCCATCGCCTATATTAATATTCTTATTTTCACGCTGAGGATTAATATATCATATTATTAAGACCTAAAGTCTCCATATTGATTTAGGCAACATGCATGACAAGTTTCTATGACAAATGAGACCGCACAACCGACGGAAATGTATAGGAAACGGATGTACCCAATTAAAACGGCTACTGCACCTCCAGTAATGTCTCACAAGATTGGTTGGAGGCTGTAGTAGCTTCATATAGACCACGGAACAGACTGCGAGGCTCACGAGCCAATAGTTCCGCTGGAGGGCCCAGCTCAACAATCACTCCGTCCGAGACGACGGCGACACGATCAGCATCCAGAATCGTAGAGATGCGATGCGCAATTGTGATCACTGTACGAGATGCAAAGTGGCGGCGAATGATCTCTTGCATTTGGCGGTCTGTCTCCCGATCCACACTGGCTGTGACCTCGTCCAACACTACCACCGAGCCTGGACGAATCATGGCGCGGGCTAGACACAGTAGTTGCTGCTGCCCAACACTGAATAGACCTTCAGACAGTTGGGCATGGATTCCGCCTCGCGAGGCTACTGTCTCCCAGAGATGCACCTCTTTAAGCGCCAGCTCGATTGCTTGGTCATCAGATTGTGCATTAAAGGGGTCGACGTTCTCTCGAATAGAGCCGGAGATTAGATGGGGCGACTGCGTGACGCAGATTAAGCGAGCGTAGAGTGTGTCGCGAGCTACCGTAGAGATGTCCACATCATCGATAGTAATAGTCCCCTCACATGAGGTGAGGAGACCGAAGAGGCTAGAAGCGATGGATGATTTACCACTGCAAGACACGTAGTTAGGTAGCCGAACAAAATTCGTGACGAGAACAGGAAAGACTATTTTTACCTTCCACTCGGCCCACACAAGGCAAACTTCTCCCCTGGCGCAATCGACAGAGTAAGATTTCGAATCACCGGGTAGGGGGAGCCTTCATATTGCGCTGTCACATCCCGGAATTTTATCTGCCCCTTCTCAGGCCACCTTGTGTGAAGAAGACTCTCGGTTCCGTCTCCATTTGACGACGGTGCATCTGAAACAAATGACCTAATGCGAGAGACTGCACCGATGGAGATTTCCAGCTGGGTCCAGTTCGAAAGGAAAGCTTTGATGCTGATACTTAACTGCACGATGTTCACCAGAGCAATGCCCATGAAGCCAGCATCAACCTGTCCCTGGGTACGCACACCGATGGTCACGACCATGATAGCCACTGCGGCCACCACCAGATCTAGAACGAGGTTCAACCAGCGTTGCACACAGTATAGCAGATAGAACGGCTTCTGGGAACGATCAAACACCTCGCGATTGCGATTGTCAAATTCGGTCTGCCACCCAAATGCGCGAATGGTAGCTAGACCAGAGATGAGCTCGAGAAAAGTAGAAAACAAAGGCGCTTTGGCTTCGATGTCAAGAAGCCGAAGCTGCCGGGCGGTTCGCAGATAGAACTTCTGAATCAGATAGAACACCGCCATTAGTGCTGGCAAGGCAATGCCAATCCATTTGGAGGATATCGCAATAATAATCAACTGGGCTGTGCAGAGTAGCAATTCCACTGAAGTGTTGAAGAGTGCTAGCGGCAGTTCCATATCGGACAATTGGAGATCCTGAGCAAAGCGATTCAGGGTCGTGCCTACGTCAGTGGTTGAGAAGAACTGCAATGGTGCATGAAGAACGGTGGTGAGGAGAGACGCATGGAATTGCATCGACGCCCGTGGCAACATTCGTTCAGTAAGGTGCCTATCAATGCAAATTAGGACAACTGATTTTAAAAAAAAGAATTATGAAGATAAAAAGCCTCATACCAAACTGCGAAAGGGAGTGAGATAATCGCCAGTGCAGATAGACCCGCGTATCCGCCGAGATACTGCCTCATATGGGTAACAGTATATTCATCGTTTCTGGCCAGCCACCATTTGACCAGGAATTCTGCATGGAAGACTCGTTAATACAAGACTTACAATGAGGTAGGTAATACTCACGGGGCAGGATGAGTCCCACAACAAAGACAGAGCATGCAACGAAAAAGATCGCCGCGCTGATGGGGTGAACAGTCTGGATATAGTATTTGTAAACCGCCGTATCGCCAGTCCGACGGTCCTCCCCCCTGGGCGCTTCTTCGGCGGAAAGAATCCTTGTAAGATCCTCCTCGGCTTTGTTGGACGATACAACACTTTGCTTCTTTTCCGATGGGCTAAACGCCATCTCTTTAGCAGTTGCAATCACCTCGCTGGTAGTGCCCTCGTCTGCAATGTGCCCTTCCGAGTCCAAGATGATGACATTGTCTGCATAGACGAGACGTTGGACTGTTTATGTCAGTATTTCCTAGATCTCATATCCATTTTATCTTTTCACTTACCAGCATGGGTTGCCAATATGACCGTGATCTCCGCCTCCTTCAGAAGCCCATCCTGGCCGAACAGGTTATGAAACAAATTTTCTTCGGTCTTTCCGTCCAGCCCACTGAAGACATCATCGAGAAGAAGAACCTTTTCCTTGGCGTAGACAGCGCGTGCAATGGCCTACGGCAATGGTTAGTAAACAACAATCATCCAGTTGGGCCTTTACACATACCAGTCGAGCCTTTTGACCACCGCTTAGAGTCATACCGCTGTTCCCGACCCATTCTTGATCTCCATGGGGGAAAGTGGAGATGTCATCTCTGAGAAGACACATCTCCACGACCCTGTCATACCATGGTTGGTCATAGAGACTAGTGCCCAGAATGTTACGTTGAATTGTACCATTTGTTATCCACGGCGTCTGACTGCAGTAGCCTACCCGAGGCACTGCCACGTCCAGCCGACCTTCATGATGGGCAACTTCGCCGAGGATGGCCAGCAACAAGGTGGTTTTACCACAGGCCACTGGGCCTACCACGAAGTTGATACTTGACGGTCGAACCTCAAAACTGATGTCCTTGAGAATCATAGCTCCTTGGGGTTCCCAGCCAGCACTAAATCCCTGCGCCATTACCATAATCGGAGATTTCTTCTCGTCGAGGACTGGATAGTCGAGTACAGAAGAGGCCGGAAGATGGGGAAGTCGGCTTTTTTCGCCATAGCTTCCCGTGGGTTTTGACAAATACTCGCCAATGCGAGCCAGGGCACCCAAGGCGGAGACTAATCCTGCAATGGCATCCAATATCAAGGCCATAGGTGCCTGTAGGAGGGCAAAAAGCGATAGAGCGGTATAGGCCGTATCATATTTGAGCATGGTGGACCCATATCGTTTCGCCAGCAGGCTGTACATGGTAAATGCCAGGAGCGGACCGGTGGAGGTTGTAGTATAGGCTATCGATCGTCAGTCAGTAGCCCTTGAGAAACTAAAATGCTCCATTTGATGACACTGACACAAAGTAACAATCAGAGTCAACGCTCTTTTGAATGGCGTCGACTCTGAAACCTCTACTGCGCGTAATCCGCGGAGCTTGTCTGCCATCAAATTCTGCAGGCCACCTAGTCTCACCTCCTTCATGCTCTTCAGCATCTCCGATGTGGCTTGCACACGGTTTTGGATAGCCTGAAGCCATCTTTGCTGTCGTCCACCCATGGTGCTGGCCACACCAAGCCCAAGGAGGGTACACACTAGGAACGTTCAATGTCAGCAGAACATACTTTGGGTGGTTTTAGTCGTTCACGAAACTTACAAAGGAATACAGATGCAAATGCCACAACTGCCAGGCCCAGCTGCCGCTCTAGCAACCACAGGGCGAGCCCAATATCAATAGGACTGGCCCAAACCTCGTGGACATACTGCAGGCCGGAGCTGATACGCTCAACATCTACACTCATCAGAGTCAAAGCAGCCGAGTCCCGTGCGACGCCAACATCCAAGTGCATCGTGTGTCGATATACGAGCGGCACGATGCTACCACGAAGCATGGTAATCAAACGAAAAGTCTTGTGTTGGCTCTTGGCGGTGGTAATAGCCAATCCCAAGTAGATCAACATGGTGGCGACAATCAACCCGTATCCATGATTCTGGCTGAGGGGATCATTGGCCTCGGAGACAAAGCTGACCACGCGCGTCAGGAGGAATGGCTGCGCGAAAGTGAAGCCTGTCATGCAAAGTCGAGGTAGAAAGGCAGATGCAATGGCCCATCGATGGTGAACGATCAAGAGCATCGTCAAGGCAGAGGAAGACTTGGTCTGCACTGTATTATTTGATAAGAGATAGTTAGCATAGATCTCACGGCATACCCCAATAAAACTCATGAAGGGGTGCAGACCTGCGTCCCATTTTCGCGTAAATAGATCCCTGCCTGCTGCGTCGTTGACGCGGGCATCAATGGACAGAAGTTTGTCGGCTTCAAGGACTTCTTGAAATCCTTGGATCAAGAGCGGATTCAACCACCAAAACATACTACGGTTGAACACATTCGCAATGGTCTCTCGTGGTGATTTTGTGGCTTCGTTGGTGAGAAACGGGTTCTGTTCAACGGACTCAAGCAAAAGCTTCACTAGGTCCAAGCCCAGGCCGGCGATGAAGACAGCACAGAACAAATGAGTCTGCGCCGCCCATATTGTTCGGGCCCGGATTCCATTTAGTGGCAATGATAGGCTCAGGAAAAGGAGGAGCAACGTTGATGGTCGAGGAGAGCGATAATGCTGGCTATAGGATACACTGACCATTAACAGTGCGGTGACAGCATCTAGAGCCACTGCTGCCACAGTTGTACGTGTCTTTGGGATCTGCAGCTGGGGAAGAAGCACCAATACCAATAGCGTAATCTTCAAACAGATCGATAGCACATGAGCAATCTAGACCCCAGTCAGTCCTGCACAATCAAAACAGTGGAGGTTGGTATACCAGTTTCCCGGGGAACAAAAGCCCCCGGCGAGTTAGTGGAGAGGTGCGACTCCGATACAGCTGCAGAGGCAGACATAGCAGAAACAGCGAACAAGGAAGGATGGTAAAGAACGACTCTTCGAATAGCAAAGTGAAGTCAAAGCCATTGCGACAGCCGGCGCCAATGGTAGGACCAAAAACGTTCTGCGCAGCAATATCACACATTGTTGCCTTCTTTTCCTTTCTGTTGAACAAAGAAAGTGGGCGGGTAAGCAGGTTTTAGTTCACTTGCAGCTATAGCGTATTATTCCACGCACCACAAGTGGACTGGGCGTAAGCAAGCCCTGTATTTTGCGTATTAGCGCAAATACCTAACTTGGTTAGTTCACCTGTAGACTTAGAGAGACTGTACCTATCTGTTTCATCTAGCTATTTTTAACCAATTTTAATCTTCCACTGCACTTCTCATACAGGCAACCACAATAGCAGGGATGTTGTTTAGGCGCCAGACTTTGATTTAAAGTAACTTGATCGCCGGTATTTTGTGCTTATCCTTCCTTTTTAGTAAACTGTCTATCTCGTTACATCCTTATACATTCTTTTCTATTCAGATTGCGCCACCTTCGCGACAATGAGACTTTTATTGTTCTTTTTGGTACTGGTGTCGGCCATGATGGCTCGGGCAACTCCAGTCCAAACGGCTGTTCCTCAGGCTGGAGTAGTCCGGCGAGAAGCCACGACGACGTCCGCGACGAACGCGGAGGCCACCATGGCGGCAACCACGACAGCAACGGAGTTTGAATTAACTTTGAGTCTGGATCTACCATCCGACACATGTACGCCGACCATAGCGCCCGACAAGAATGGCTATGTGCCGCCAGGGGAGTGCAACGCCTTATACCTTTATTACCCGTCTTTCAAAGCTGCCATTGCTGCCACCGTGATTTTCGGGCTCATCCTAGTAGCCCATTTTGTGCAAGCGACCATGTACAAAGCGGGCTTTGTCTGGGTAATACTTATGGGAACCGCGTGGGAGACTGTAGGCTATGGGACGCGCGCCTTAAGCACTCGCAAGCAACAAGACAACACTGTCGCGACCGTCACCCAGATGTTCATTCTTTTGGCCCCATTATGGGTCAATGCATTTGACTATATTGTTTTGGCTCGGATGATCAACTTCTTTGTCCCGGAGCGTCGCATCGGCATATTCAAACCTTCCTTGCTGGCCAAGATCTTCGTTTTTCTCGACTTTGGCTCCTTCATTATCCAAATGATTGGAGGTTTCATGGCCACTGGTACCTCAGAACAGCAAATGAACGGCATCCACGTCTACATGGCCGGCATCGGCATCCAACAATTTTTCATCGTCTGCTTTTTGGTCCTAGCTTTCCAGTTCCATCGGTTAATGCTGAAGCTAGATCGGACCGGTCGGTTATTTGGCGAAAAGCAGAACTGGCGTAAACTACTTTACGTTCTATATGCCAGTCTGCTTTTCATCACTGTGCGTATCTTCTACCGCTTGGTGGAGTTTTCATCAGGCTACGGGGATAACAACCCCATCCCATACCATGAATGGTATATGTATGTGTTTGATGGCATTCCGATGGCTTTTGCCGTTCTTGTCTGGAACTTTGCGCCACCCGGCGCTGTGCTACAGGGCCCAGACGCGAAGATGCCGTCCAGCGGCATCGGCAAGCTTCTCTGTTGTAACGGTTGTGGCTGCTGTGGAGGTTGTTGCTGTCGAACCTGCCGGAAGCGAAGCAAGGGAAAGAAAGATATGCAGAGACTACCCGACAACGATTTCTATGGAGATGATGTACCACTCCACCACCGTGACGCGTCACCTTTCAGGGACACGAGATATTCTTCCGTTCGCTGAAATATTTTCTTTCCGTTTTTTTTATGAGTTTTGCTTTTTCCATGATTCCCTTTCTATGTTTATATATACTTCTTTCTCCTACTTCGCTTTGTTTTTTTTTTTTTTTCTTTTTGAGCATATGCGCCTTTTTGGGGGATAAACACGGAGCAGAGGTGTTGGGGTAAATGGATTTCCATGTGTTTAAGTCCTGGATTTACTGTATTAACCTGGGGGATCATTCAATCGCATCCAATTCAAAGTTTTACCAAGCTCCATGGGGCCAAGACATGTCTATCTATAACTTTAATTACACCTCCTATAAGTCACTGTAGTGTCCAAGGATCGAAGAAGTTGTATTGCCAAAGTGCGAGGGCAGCGAGTCCAATGAACCAAAGAAACCAACCACATCTGACCCCGGCTGTCTTAAGCTGGCGTAGATATCATGGTTGTCTTTCCCCGTAAAGCTGGAAGGATACAGACCCATGTGCTGGAGAACCTCCTCCGGCGGCGCCGTCCGCCGTCCATCCTTGAACACATATCGACTTACACCGACAGCAAGTATTGCCTTCTGAGCTTCCGATCCGTCCTTGTTCTCCTCTCCCTTTTGCAAGCTCCGCATCACATTTTTATGGGTTCCAGCCTTGACAAAATAGGTCACCAGAACCAGCCATTTCGCGTCCCAGGTCAGCACTCGCGACCAGACCTCGTACCGCTGCAGTGGCTTGATCTCGCGTTTGAAGACACAAGATGTTCCACCGAGTGCAACGCTAACGATTCTTTCGGCCTTCTTCGATTTCGGTGTATCCGTCCCGATCTCAGGTGCCCAGCGTGGCAGACGAGGGAACAGGTTCAAGAGCAGTTGAGCGCGGTTGATGTCCATGTCGGAGAAGAAAGTACTATTCGACTTGTGCATGTTGTAATCGCATTCCATGAGAGCGTTCTGGTGCGAGGACACCATGTACGAGAAGATGAGAGGTATTCCGCCGGATCGATCGTCGACAAGTAATCCATTTCTATTGATTTGACGGGGAGATAGTCGAGCTCCGAGGAATTGGGTAAAGAGACCTTTGATCACTCGCAACTAGAGGCACGAAAAGGTACCTGTTAGCCAATAACAACGGAGCAGAGAGGATTTTCTACTTACGTGCCAAACAAAAGGTAATGATTTCAAATTTATGAACACTACGCCTGCAATAGCAAGGAGGAGGGCATATTGCATGTACCCATCGTCCACCCAAAGTGTGCTTAAGACGGTCATTGAGATTTCACTCACGCAGGAAAAATTGGGAAAATTTCTAGATCACAAACAACTAACCAACACTTGGAGGGGATTGGGTTAGGTAGGCGCCTGGCTTATTAAACCGGCCAACCTCCGGTTGCAGTACTGTAAGAGAACTGGTAATTTGAAGTGAATTTCTGATTTTTTGAGCTCGATACAACTAGTATTGTTTCGGTGTTTCCAATGTTGTATGTTACATTATTACATGTTACATACCACACCGTATAGTATTTTAAACACTAGTATGTAGTGTTCGTATCAAACGTATGGACTCGTCCAAACGACGTCTAGATTTTTATCGTTCGACATAGCCCCTCGTGCAGAGAGGAAAGGGAGCCAAGGCGCCGAAATCTGATGAAGTTCCATAAAGTACCGTCTAGGATACTCTTAACGACTTTGGCTTGCTGCCAAGGTTGCATCTGGTGACCATCATGCTTTGGAATCCATGCAATGAAAAGCGCGGACGTGGTCAGTAGTCTGACTGTGTCTGATCTCATCATCAGTAATCTAACACATTGAGCTCAGCTGAAGGCACAGCCTCCGATCCCCTCGACCGCTCTGGCAATGTCGTCACCGCCGCTTACTATCGCCATTCTGCGGCGTTATCACTCGAAGGGATAGAGCCATTGATCTATGACGCTCTAAAGCAAGTGGCACTGCAACATCCACCGCTGGGGCCCATCGTGAAAAGCATGGTACATTTTGTTCAGCTGCAGGATGGCCGGGATGAAGAGGTGGACGCCCTGGTAGAGGAACAACAGAACATGGGGTTTCAGCAGACCTATGAGCAAGGTTGGCGGCTGCTGATTGCATACACATATAAGCAAAGCACTGTGTCTGACCTGATTGTTTGCTTCGTGGTGCATGAGCCTTTAAAAGATCGGTTCTGTGGAGGGTTGGCTTTCCATCGATCGTTCTTGGCTGCATTGTTGTTTGCCAGTGAGGTAAACCCATCAAGCCAACAGACAAAAGAGCACAGTCACTTCACTTCAATACGATCTTTGTCTAAGATGTCTAGGTCACGCAGCAGAGCCCTAACAGGCCAATCTCGGTTCAGAACAATAACACTTGGAACTAGAGAAACCACCCGTCTTCTAGACATTTCTTCCTCCAGTAAGACAAATCTTACTGGCGTCATCCAAGCTGCTCTCGTGGCATCATTGTTTGCCAACTTGCCTTCGGAAATTACCACCCTCTATGCTGAGGGCCGCATGTCACATGGAGAATTCCACTCCCTTGGTGGGAATATGGCAAACACCAACACTTCGCCATGTTTTTCATATATTGAAACACACAAAAGACAGGAGTTGACGACGGCTTCCGTCTGGAACGAGGCTCGACGTATACACTCAGCCACCAAGGCGCAGCTGGCTCGAAAGAAAGAAAAAGCCCAGATTGATTCTTCCCAGGACAGAAAAAGGACCAAGGAGGTTGATACAAGAGATACAATGGAAGTGACTATGGGAGTCAACGTAATAGTGTCGAACATGGGAACTTTTCGGTATCACAAGCAACCCGACTCCCAACAGCAGCAAAGCTGGCAAGCGGGGACTATTATATGTGGAAACGGTGGCACTGAACTTGGTGCTACTCTGTCCATAACCCTGGTTGTCGGAGAAGACGAATGTTTGACGATTGGTTTTTCTTGGTCAGATAGCATTATCGAGGAGGTTTGGCTTGACCAGGTCATCTTAACCTTGAGAAAGGCAATCGAGGAAATCCTGTACACTAGTGGTACAACGAAAGGGCCACTAATCTCAGACGCACTTCCTTGGGGGGGCTCAATGTCACGGCTTGTCTATCTGGTGAGAGACCTCATGTTGGAGTAAATTTGCTCGAAATAGAGGGATCTTACTTCCTTCGATAGCCTCTTCTAGAAAAGGAGAACAACGTCGATCATTGGCAAGAGGAACACCCTGTTGGCAGATGTTGGTCACTTCTTCCAGCTGCTTTCTCATAACTCCGAACAATCCCCATTTAGTTGGGGAGCATGACCGGTCTCAATTAATGATTTGGAGTTGGTTGACAGCTACGTATATGAGTTGATACTTATACGAGCGCGTGTTGGTTTAGCCTCAGTCACTGCCCTAGACCTGGAATTGACAACACGAATGATCATTTTAATATACTCGAATGTGCTAGAGTGAGAACGGCCCGAGGCAGCAATGAGAGTCGTGCCTGCCGTATTCAGTAGTTAGGATAGTTCCTGCTAAATTAAGAAACCGAGGCTAGTATCCACTGAATCATGGATACCTTTTCCACATCACTAGCCATTTCCTTTTGCCTTTTGTCCTTAGGTTCCTAGTCTCGGCCATTAGCGTTGTAACAGGCGGAAGAGGGTCGAAGAAAGGAGTGAACCTGCTTGCTTTGCCTGTGTCGGGGCTTTCAGAGCAAGCCTCACGTATCGCCCTCCGCGCCTAGTGAAGCAACCGGGCGTTTCAATGTAATATATCCTCAAACAACTACTCTAGATAAAGTCTGTCCTTGCTGCAGTAATGATTCTAGAGATAGACACACGAGATAGAGAGAGATATGTACAGTGATATTCGAAATCAGTTTTACCTCCAATCTCTCTCTCTTTATTTCCCGAGGCCCCACCTTAAGCGCACTAGTCCATATTAGGATATCTTTCCGCGGCGTTCATTTGTACCTAGGTACCTAGGTGTGTAACTGTCTTCGATGAGTCAGCACAATGACAGCGATCACGTGTTTACGTGTGGTTCCGGAACTGTGTAGGAAGAATATAGTAAATCTTCCCGATAGTCCTACAAGGCTAGGCCATCCTCTAACAAGCGTCTTCATCAGTCAAATGTATCATCGGAGGGCTTAGCTGTGATTGTGTGCCGAGCGAGGGTCGGACCGATGGCGGACCCACACGCGGGCGCCCCCGAGCTCCCTCACACAAAATCGCAAGGAACGGCAACGGCCCATGTGTCAGAAAACCTTGAATCAACGACCGCACCTCGAACAAAAAGACAGGCTGCCTCAGCGATGGCCACGCTATCCCAGCTCTCCCGAGCGTCGAGACCACGACCACTGGAGACAACAATGGACGCGTCACGACCCGGGAAATCTGGCGGCTGGTCGACAGCCTGACAGAAACGATCACCCACCAAACTGCGCTTATTGAATCGACCAAAGCGGACCTGGTGGAAATCAAATGCGACCAGCACGAGCTCAAACCCATCAACGATAAGTTGCGAGAACAAGTGCGCGCTCTGCGGGCAAAAGTCGAATCTTTTACCGGGTCACTCCCAACGCCTTCCTGTCCTGGGCTGCGGTAGCGGCGAGCGCCGACAACGCAACACTCGAGTGAATCCGGAGCGAACCGACAAAGAAAGAAACTGCGTCAGAATCAGCACCGAAAGCATCTTTGTTGACCCTCGAGACAACGCAGACAGCGACAGCAACACCTTTGGCCAATACCTCCCCATCCTCGAGGCCAACACCCACATCAGAAACGCACTAGTGAACGCACCGTCCAACCAAAACACGGAGGTTGCGGGAATCGCTACAGTATTTCCGGAAATGGGTGTCACCACCTATACTCTTTCATACTTTCCTTGAACCTAATGCCAAGATCAACTAATCTCGATCAAGAACAGGAGCGGAAAATAGATAGTCATGTATTATTCTCTATATAGTATTTTACTCCGCAAAGGCGATGATATTATGTCTTGATCTGTATGGGTATTGTAGCTGGAATTATCCGTTGAAGTGCAATTAGATCAAACACTTAGAGCTGGAGCGTGTCTGGAAGATCTGGCAGTATGCTCTTTCCCCCTGCAACTCTCACGCCGAACTAATGACCTACCTAAATACCGCCTACTTCTCGCAATATAATTCCCGAGACGAGTTTTTAGTATGAAGACAAGTAGTAACCCCACGATAACGTGACGTATTCACAACTCCAGGCGTTTGTCCCTTAGCATAGGAATATCTGGGCAGGGAATATGAATCATAGAAATCACTGAAAACCTTTCATTGACAGAAAAGGCCGTATATAAACCGCAGCTGTCCCAAGCGCTCCTTCTGTACAGAGATTAGAAAACAAAAGATTTGAGTGGAAAACATGAAAAACGTAGTTTATATTATATGCTTAAGGAATTCTGTAACCAAGACCCGCCCATCCGCATACCCGAGGGCAAGTGTGGCACCGTTGACAGCCTGGCACTCAATGGAACGATACTCAGCCGGGAGCCATAGTACATTCTCACCTCCCAAACTAACCCAGTTATTCGATAATGATATCTGGCAATCGTCAAGACCTTTTTCGAGAGCTGGCGTGAGTCCATCGGGAGAAAAGGCCCCCGAATTAACCAGATGTGAATGGCCCTCTAGCTGCGTGCCGGTCGCCGTATCCCAGAGCTTGATGGTGTTTTCTTCCGGGCCGGATGACAGGGTGAGTCCATCGGGAGAGAAGGCAATTGAACTAGCCCAATTTTCATGGCCCTCTAACGTCCGCCGCTGCGTGCCGGTCGCCGTATCCCAGAGCTTAATGGTGCGGTCGTCCGAGCCCGATGCTAGGGTGAGTCCATCGGGAGAGAAGGCCACCGAACAAACCCAACTTGAATGGCCCTCTAACGTCTGCCGCTGCGTTCCGGTCGCCGGATCCCAGAGCTTGATAGTGTTATCATTCGAGCCTGATGCTAGGATGAGTCCATCGGGAGAGAAGGCCACTGAATTAACCACATGCGAATGGCCCTCCAGCGTCTGCCGCTGCGTGCCGGTCGCCATATCCCAGAGCTTGATAGTGTGGTCGCCCGAACCCGATGCTAGGGTAAGCCCATCGGGAGAGAAGGCCACCCAACTAACCCACCTTGAATGGCCCTCTAACGTCTGCCGCTGCGTTCCGGTCGCCGGATCCCAGAGCTTGATAGTGTTATCACTCGAGCCTGATGCTAGGATGAGTCCATCGGGAGAGAAGGCCACCGAATTAACCCAAGTTGAATGGCCCTCTAACGTCTGCCGCTGCGTGCCAGTCGCTGGATCCGTGCCGGTCGCCGGATCCCAGAGCTTGATGGTGTGATCGTTCGAGCCCGATGCTATTGTGAGTCCCTCGGGAGAGAAGGCCACTGAACTAACCCAATTTAAATGGCCCTCTAGCGTCTGTCGCTGCGTGCCAGTCGCCGGATCCCAGAGCTTGATGGTGCGGTCGTCCGAGCCCGATGCTAGGGTGAGTCCATCGGGAGAGAAGGCCACCGAACAAACCCAACTTGAATGGCCCTCTAGCGTCTGCCGCTGCGTGCCGGTCGCCGGATCCCAGAGCTTGATGGTGTGGTCGCCTGAGGCCGATGCCAGGATGAGTCCATCGGAAGAGAAGGTCACATAATTAACCCAATTTTCATGGCCCTCTAACGTCTGCCGCTGCGTGCCGGTCGCCGTATCCCAGAGCTTAATGGTGCTATCACTCGAGCCTGATGCTAGGATGAGTCCATCGGGAGAGAAGGCCACCGAATTAACTATATGTGAATGGCCCTCTAGCGTCTGCCGCTGCGTGCCGGTCGCCGTATCCCAGAGCTTAATAGTGTTATCTTCCGAGCCCGATGCCAGGGTAAGTCCATCGGGAGAGAAGGCCACCGAATTAACTATATGTGAATGGCCCTCTAGCGTCTGCCGCTGCGTGCCGGTCGCCGTATCCCAGAGCTTAATGGTGTGATCGGCCGAGCCCGATGCCAGGATGAGTCCATCAGGAGAGAAGGCCACTGATTTAACCCATTTTGAATGGCCCTCTAGCGTCTGCCGCTGCGTGCCGGTCGCCGTATCCCAGAGCTTGATGGTGTGGTCGTCTGAGCCCGATGCTAGGGTGAGTCCATCAGGAGAGAAGGCCACTGATCTAACGAAATCTGAATGGCCCTCTAGCGTCTGTAGAGGTGTGCTCCAGGAATCCATTACCGTTGGTAGCAGCTGTATTTGTTTTGATAATTCGCTAAGAAATGTCCCCTTGATGACACTTTGTGCTGGTGCAAATGCTAGCCCGGAACAGTAGAGTTGCAGTGGAGCAATGTCAGCTATATAAAGATTTTGAAGAGTAAATCTTCTTGCATCATATAAAAACCCTGAAAGAGCAGGATCGTATTTCTTCTGTGATATCTATCAGCTGTTATGTTATCCAACCGTAAATTTTCGATACTTACCCATATGCTTGACTCTAATATCTTTATCATTCCTGCCGCCTCGGATATTTTCCCTATTAAAGCTAGTACCTCCAACCAGTGAAGGAACCGCTTTTGAAGAAAAGAGAGGATTTCAGATTCAGGGATACCACCCTGGCTCTGCTTCAGATGATGTACCCAATAACAGCAGGAGTATTGCAAATCAGCAGGGAGGCGCTGCTGGATGACCTGAGGGTCGATATCCTGGCACTGTATTCCGTAACTTGCTAGGTCACAGATATTGTGCCTGAGCCGAGTGTCCATGACGCGTAGACAGTGTAATGCTATTTGTCGATGTGTATTCTTTTCATTGATACGAAAGTCACCTTCTGTATGGATTAAGAAGTCTCGAAATGAAAGATGCAGAATGCGAACCGGTGCTTCGAGATCCGCTGGGACACTCAGAACAGAGTGAAATCTCTTTAATCGATTAACAATTTTATTCTCGGGTATCCCAGTGAATTGCGCAAGAGTGACAACTGAGAGAGGGACGGCCAAAAGAACAATCACGCCGATAATATCCTGAAACTCTTGTAAGAGTCGCTCAAAATCCTTCTTATTTTTCGCGGTAAGGAGTTGGCGTAGTACTGGTAGATATGTCCGATCCATATCTGATGTCGATGTTGTTGCTTCATCTTGAAGAACGGCTGTAAGACGCTCTTCCGGGAACCAGTCTTCATCCCCAACAAAGCGGCAAAGAGTGGCCGCAAAGATGAACAAAGGTAGAGCCATCTGCACCAGTTGCTCAAGTCTTTTATTCCCAGGCCAGTCAGAGGGAAGTGAGTGTTCGCGTTGTATTGCTGAAAGCTTGTATTCTAGGAACACGCGAATATCGTGTTCGATTACTGGAGCAGGAAGTTCATGGAGAACTAGGTCCTGATACTTGTCTTCCTTCATGAAACCGAGACGGATCGGAAGTTCAGGTCTGCTTGTCAAGACTACACGCAAGCGCACAGACTGAATTTCTTGTAATCTGAACAAGAGATGAAGTATGAGTTTTATATCATCATCCCCATCACATTCATCCAAGGCGTCAATAACGATCACAATCGTGGTGGATTGGTCCGGTTGCAGCTTTAGAAGAGGCTGATAGAGAAGCTGGTGAAATTGATCTCTCAGAAACTTCGATGTAATCCGCGGATCAGTCTTGATGGCACTCAAGACCTCAGGCACCAGTTGCCTGTGTCTAGTTACCAGCTGTCCCACGATACTGGTTATCAAGTATGATGCAGTACCACGGTCGGCTTCGCCCCGCTTGAAAAAAAAGCTGGCACCAAGCAGTCCTCGTTCTTTGAACCCTTGTGCAACTGTGCGTGCAATGGTAGACTTCCCCGTTCCCGCCATCCCATTCAACCAAAAGACGAATTTATCATCGGAGTTCGCCCAATCCGTAATACGGGAAAGAAGCTCGGTTCTGGTCCCTGGAAGGCAAAAATCCTCATGTTCATGAACATGAGAGTCATATAATGCTCCCTCCACAACATGTAGATGCATAAGGCTAGACTGTTCCAAAAGAAGCTTCAGGGATTCGCTAAGCTCATCGATTTTGAGAAGAATATTTTCTGCCTCCTTTGCATGGTGCAAGTATCCACCAAGCTCGGTCCACCGGCGCAAATTGTCTCTTTCTTTTTCGACTGAGCTCTTGAGCTCCGTAAGTGGGTGCCCAGTAATGGCAGTGAAACAGTCCGAGAGGTTTCTTCCGACGCCATGCTCTTGGGAATTCCGAATCTGTCCTGAATAGCGCAGAATGGCCATATAGAGTTTGATTATTGCGGTTTCCACATGGCCTCGAATATCTGAATAGCCGTCAAGATTGAATCTCTGTTCGATGAAGGCGCATTGTGTAATAACGTCGGCCAGGTACTCCGATGATTCAAACAATGCATTTCGTGCATCATGGTGGTTTTGGGTAATCTACGATACCAGTCAGACAGTAAGCAACTGGCTTGTCTTAAATTTCTAGCAATACATACTTTCAAACCAAGCGACACGACAGCCCAAGCACTGGCTACATGTTGTGTGGGGTCAAGTCCAGCAACCGTACTAATGATGTCCTTATAGGAAAGTAACGCATCGATGATCTTCCGCGAAGTTTTCCGGAGTGTATTATCTGACTTCTGCTGATATGCCTCGTATTGCAGTTTTGTCACGTGGATGATCTCGTCGATCAGCTCTCTCGAGCCAGCTTTCTTTTCCTCTGATTCGGGAGAGCTTTGTGTGCGTAACAAAATCTGCTGCTGCTTCTCATCGAGCTGGTCATACGCAGCTTGCCACAGGTCTTTTGGCTGGAAGGTTTCGATTGACTGAAGTAGTTGGATTGCTGGCTGGCTGGAAGTCGGCGGTCTAGCGATATTCGTGCTGTCTTTTTGGTCTTCTGCTTGATTGATCTGGGCTTCCACTTTCTCAATATCCTTGTGCTTGTGAAATGAAGGAAATAACTTTTTCAGACGTTTGGGCATATTTCGTAAAAAGAAAAATTTCCGGTAGCTGACTCTCGGTGTTTGGTTGGAAGAAATGATGCTATTCTGAGTAAATCAGGCTGGGGAGGGGCAGATGTCTTCCACCATTCCCACAAGTCACGGGTATTTTGAGACTACGCGGAAATAGTTTAGTTCTTCTTGGCATCAGGGTTCGAGAAATAATGAAAGAGTGTAGGTGGTGACACCGATTTCCGGAACTACTGTACCACGAAGACCGGATATATCATCCGCTTTAAAGAGCCAGAGTCGGCCGAGATGGCCCGCAACAACACCGAGTGGTTAACTAGATTGGGAAACGACACGAAACTGGTCAAACCGAGGTTTGGAATCGTCGTACATCGGACCCCCATACAGGGATTCGACATTTAAGGGAAGGGAACAAAGCAGAGGCGATCGAGAAAATCATCGAAGAAAATGAGCTAAATGAGCGTGGTTTTAAAATTGTAGACATCGCGTGGTTAAAGAAGAGAGAAAGGATACCCTATCAAAAAAAAAGAGGCAGTTTTTGAACCTTCACTTTACTATCTAAAAGTCGTCTAGGAATCCGCAAATTCATATAGACCGTTGGTCTTATAGTTAAATATAACATGCTAAATTTACAGCTTTACCAGACCTCTATTTTTAATGGAAAATTGGTAGTGATATGAGCCCCTTTTATAATTACTATAGGGATTACTAAAATAGTGAAACGTAGGTGTAAAAAACCATTTAAAAAACAGGGTACTGTAGAAAGCTCAAAAGTAGATTAGTGTTTCTTGGGCCTTACTGTTAGGGTTCAAGAAATAATGAAAAAGTGCAGGAGGTGAGACCAAGTTCCGGAACTACACGTAAACACGTGATCACTGTCATTGTGCTGACTCATCGAAGACAGTTACACACCTACCTAGGTACAAATGAACGCCGCGGAAAGATATCCTAATATGGACTAGTGCGCTTAACGTGGGGCCTCGGGAAATAGAGAGAGAGAGATTGGAGGTAAAACTGATTTCGAATATCACTGTAAGAGTCAAGAGCCCTATTCTTCCTCCAAATTCAATCCTGCTGACGAGATTTATATATCCACTCCCCGGCCCCCAGGGCGAGAGGCGTGAGCTCACAGCTCACGCATTCGAGGCATTGTACGTAACTCGAACATGATGTTATGTGAATCCTCTAATCTGCGTTAGGGTTTCTGAGCATTGGCTGTTTTGCTGTATGTAATGGACATGTGAAAGTAAAATATTGCCGTGCATTGTTCTTAGGGTACGTGGATAGGTCGCTAAGACATATATAGCAAGGGTCATTCCTAGGCTTCTCCCAGCCTTTTTTTTTTCCTTCCCTTTCCGTACTGTCCACAACTTCACCAGTGGCACTGTATACACATATCTGACCTCTGTCGTACGACCAAAGCAACTTTCATTATATTCACTAAAACCGAAGGCTAGGTCCGACAAAGCAAGGGCCTTTTCACCATTGATAGGCTCCTTGGGAAGTGATTAAACCACTAGGGAATGTTATTGTTCTCTAGCTAGACGTTTTGTTTTAGCAAGTAGCAAATCACCTTCTGGGACTATGTGAACGTCAACGAAAAGCCCAAAGCCGCCTCCATAATGTCAAAGCCCCTTGCTCAAGCCGCTGTGCTCAAAGATCACTAATCTCAGATTTCTATCGTTTCAAAGACTGCTTTGCGAGCAGCTGCTCTCTCCCTTGCCCGTTTTGTTAATCCTAGCTGCTCTAAAAACGAATAGCTTGCCCCAGTGACGATGCCTATTTGATCCAATACCTTGCTTGATGCTGGCCATTTTGGTCTATCGTTCGGGTGGCATGTTTAAGCACTAATTCAACAGTTCATTCATCGAAGGACGAGCTGGACAACATCGACCTATTTTGTCTTATTAGAAAGGAAGCTTTGGATCTCACTTAGAATTTAGTAGGCAGGCTCTTGTGCTCTAATCAATCGACCAAAATATATGCCCAGGTCTTGCTCACTTCGTCTTGAATCCAAGCGATCAATAAAAGTGTTGCTTTGGGGATTCATTTACCCAATCAACTGGAACAGCTTTTCAAGAGCTGCGCACGTTCGAGCATGTCCCGTCTCTCAAGAAGTGCCCAGTGATCCCAGATCACGCAGGACCGGTGGCGCGAGGCGAGAAAGATATGCTCAATTGACAAAGGAGGTCCAGACGCGATTAGCTCCATGGAGCTGTTTACCAATGACTTGGAGAATCTCTTCAGCATTATAGGTGCAATGAGAATGACAGACCACAATGACACGATAGCTTCGGCTCTTCGATTCTCCGGGGGAGTATTGGAAGAGGCAGTTGCGTGATATATCGGAGAGTTCCGGATTACTTGTAGACCGCCAGTATCCGAAATTTGAACATCCACTGTATGCCCCATTGTATAAATAGTCAATTTTAACATGCAGCCCCTGTCAATCTCCATGCAGTCACTAAGGCGCCATCTTTCAACTGCTGCTACATCAGATACCCGACCAAGGTAGGAGCTCAATCACACACCCCTGGGAGGTCAAAAGGTGGCACTCCGAAGCCACGCATTCCATAGCTCGTAGAACTATGAGAGTCAAAATTGAATCTAGTGATGCGGTTATTGACTAGCTTGCATGAGAAAGCAAGGCAGCCAATAATGGCCTTATCATGAGCGCTTCTATGGGCCTTCGACGCATTTTTTTGTGAGGGGAAGAGGGGTTGCCACAAAATCCAGGGATCTATGTACTGGAGTGTACCGATCTCTTGTTCAAGACGATTGTCATGGGGATGTGATCAAAGATGCGTTTCACGACTTGTATGACACGGGAATTCCTTTGCCTTCCGGCGCTTTTATTGTGGTCTGTTAAAACTAGGGATCAAGTCCTGGTAGAGGAACGGATATAGTATTACTCTATTATGCAGATGCGCGCGGTCCATGGCAAAACTCTGAACTTGAGCGATACTCCAATCAATTTGACGTTCTCTTCCATGCCTACAATTTGACGGTCCAAATATAGGACGCTTCTGGAATTAAATTGCCCTGCTAGTTAGCTTTATTCCTCGGTCCTTCGCACGCCTGATCATTTACCAACAGGCAGCTGAGTGGCTGAGTGTGGCAAAGACACAACCATCCCGATCAACAGACATCATGGCTTCCCATTCAACAAGTTCCTGGGAATCTGTTGTAGCCCGGGGCTTGCCCACATCCGAGAATAGCACTGACTCTATCAATCAGATTGACCAGTCCGACAAATTGAGCCATTGGCCAACCAGAAGCGACACAACATGGATGCTCGGCCCGTTGCATGAAATTGGGTACATACTAGTTGTCCCAATTCGGGATCAGGAGGTACAGCATATAGAATTGTCGCCGAGTTGTTCCGTTGGCACAATGATTGGACATGCATGCAGCTCTTTTTGGACTCGGGCGTCAGTTTCGCGACTACAATCAGATACATTAGTTAACTTAGAATGAACAGCCGTAGTGATAGTGGCTAAAACACAAGCGACTCATCAGATAATCGTGTCAACCTGAACACGGACGTGGTGGTTTCCAAGTGGCTGGGACGATCAATGATCGCCCTTTGCGAAGTGAAATGTCCAAGTCCAATCACCTGACCAACTCGAGTGTCGTCTCCTCAAATGATGTTCATGTCCACGACGCAGTACCATGCATTACATCACCAACCCAACTGTCCAACTGTCCGTCCCCTTACACTGAGGTTACAGAAGGGTTGGGCGACTGAAGTGTCGGTGTCGGAAAAAGTGGACCTTGAGCCTTGGAGGGCCCACGACTCCATTCATTCATCCACACCCAACAGTTAATCCACTCGTTTCGCCTCGTTTGACTCACTCCAGGCGCAAAAATGAAGACGATTTCCTCCGTATTGAAAGCATATCTATTGTGAGGGTACTGGAATGGCCCTGGCCTCCCCACTCGATGCAGGCGTCTCATTTGCCGCTGTTGCCGGACGTTGGGCAGGAATGGGCAGTTCGACTGCATCCCTTCGTGCACTTCGACTCCCTGCAACTGAGACACAGTACAGTACTCTACTGGCGGTGACTTTGTGTCACGAGTTCTATTAGCCCAACTTCAACTCCTTTTCCAATTGTGTAGCTACTGGACACGACTCCAAAACAAAACAAAACAAAACAAAACAAAAGAAAAAAATTCCGAGGCACCCCACCTCAACAGACCCATATTCTCCATGCCGGTGCAGCACTGGCCTTTCCTTTCTTGACCGATGTGTTGCCCGATCCCCAATCCTAACCCGCCATTCCTGCCGGTTACTGCAGCTATTCCTGCAGGTGGGGATTGTGCTGCTCTCACCCGGCCCTAATCAAGCACCAGGCCTCGCTATCCCTCATATCGGTCATGGATATGGAGACCCAAGGACCGACGTGGCCCAATGACAATTGGTCACATCGGGCAGTTCATTGATGACGTTCAGGGCCCAAAATCGAAATGCAGTTTGTTGTCCCATTTGAACGATTATACGCTGCCTCGCCGTGGCGGTCCAATGCGGTGTCTCCAGAGAAACAAGCATGTCCTTCTTTCCTTTTCGGTTTCTAATACATGAGTACCTCGCCAATCTCATACTCCTCAGTTTTCCAACCTTTGTATCTTTTTGTTCCTTTTATTCCCTTGCCGCCCGGTTCCCGGTACTTCCCTTGCATTGCAAGCCTGACAGAGGCTTGTCAATCTCCGATTGTTCCACTGTTATCGCATCACGCGCTAGTCAGCATTGCCCACGCCTCGATATATGATACGTCATTGATCGAGGATAATGGCAAAGAAAAAGTCAAAGGCGAAGAATAAGAACAACGCCAACAACCGCCTCCCCGTCGGCACAGAAAACCCTCCCGATTCTGAGAGCAAAAACCTCATAGACGAGCCTGGCCCCGACGAGGCGGCAGGAGCTGCTCAAGATGCCTTACCAGTATGCATCGATCCCTCGATTTACTTATCAGAGTGTTGAAAGAAAGTACCAAACTTTCGACTTTGGCACT